ACATTCATGGGCTCCTGATATTATGGTTATTTCCATACATTCATTGGAACCTGATATTATGGTTATTTTCATACATTCATGGGATCCTGATATTATGGTTATTTTCATACATTCATGGGATCCTGATATTATGGTTATTTTCATACATTCATTGGATCCTTACTTCATAATTACCAACCACAAACATAAACTAGTTCACACACAAGTGAAATCTTAACAAAAATACACAAACCACGAATATAAACCAATGTTAATTCAGTTATTCTCATTTGTACATCAAAAACATTTTGAAGAAGACTGTGGCAACGGTTTATAACGTATGATATGTTCACAACATTATGTGTGAATTATCCTAACAAAACGTCAGTTAAAAAATAATGTTGTGTGACGTATCGGAGGGAACAAGGACAGACTAGAAGCAATCATTTAAAAGTTTATCTATCAGCCACACAATCTGCAATCTCGAAACGCAAGATGTCATGCTCGATGAGTTTCTGAGTTACACGACTCAGAGCAAGTATTTGTCATGATAATTAACCTTAGTAACACGACTCAGAGCTAGTATTTGTCGTAAGTAACCTTAGTAACACGACTCAGAGCAAGTATTTGTCATGATAATTAACCTTAGTAACACGACTCAGAGCTAGTATTTGTCGTAAGTAACCTCAGTAACACGACTCAGAGCTAGTATTTGTCGTAAGTAACCTTAGTAACACGACTCAGAGATAGTATTTGTCGTAAGTAATCATAGTAACACGACTCAGAGATAGTATTTGTCGTAAGTAACCTTAGTAACACGACTCAGAGATAGTATTTGTCGTAAGTAACCTTAGTAACACGACTCAGAGATAGTATTTGTCGTAAGTAACCTTAGTAACACGACTTAAAGATAGTATTTGTCGTAAGTAACCTTAGTAACACGGCTCAGAGATAGTATTTTTCATGCTAAATAACCTGAGTAACATGACTCAGAGCTAATATTAGTCATGTTAAGTAACCCGAGTAACATGACTCAGAGATAGCAATTGTCGTGTTAAGCAACCTGAGTAACACAACTCAGAGTTTTAGTTTTGTTAAGTAACCTGAGTAATACAACTCAAAGATAGTATTTCTTATGCTAATTAACCTGAGTAACACGACTAAGAACTAGTACTTGTCATGTTAAGTAACATGAGAAACACAACTCAGAGATGATATCAGTGATGTTAATTAACCCGAGTAACACGACTCAGAGATAGTATTTGTCATGTTAATTAACCCGAGTAACACGACTCAGAACTAGTACTTGTCATGTTAAGTAACCTGAGTAATATGACTCAGAGCTAGTATTAGTCATGTTAAGTAACCCGAGTAACATGACTCAGAGCTAATATTAGCCATGTAAAGCAACATGAGTAACACAATTCAGAGCTAGTATTTGACATGTTAAGTAACCTGAGTAATATGACTCAGAGCTATTATTTGACATGTTAAGTAACCTGAGTAACACGACTCAGAGCTAGATCTCCAGAAGTTATGTGTTGATGTTTCTTGTGAGACTTGTATAGAGACTTCACCACAAGTTTTGTTATTGCAGATAAAGAAATTAGATAAAATGTAATTGAAATATCGTTTCATCGAATGAAGCTAAGAAACAAATATAAATATTATCATGTCTATTATCATTAAATGTAAACAGAATTTACAAATGTAAATACTGAACAACGTTAATCGAATTAGAATAAAATACGTAATCTGTGTATATTTTATAGAAGTAGCGCCATGTCTAAAGTAATCTCAATTAAAATGATATGAATTAAGTACATATACTTTTGGTAGAAATCTACTCTATGATATGATAGTAATGGCATAATATTTTTCTGATCATTACAAATGCCTTATTTAACCACCAAATTGAAACAGAGAGTAAAAACAAAGCAATCAATAAATATATTGTGATGACGTGGAGACCTCAAAAGTGGATTTATATAGTGCACGTCTGTACCGAGATGTTGTTGCTAAGCGACCGTAATGTAGTTGCTAGGGGCACTTACCATGTAAACATCAGTAGAACAACCGTTACTTATGGCCTTAATCCCTAATCCTTTGAAAAGCGCTTTTGCCCTTTCAGAAACCGATGGGGAATACATTAATAACTACCTACGAAAAACACAGCTATAGTAGACAACAACTACCCACGAAAAGTACAGCTATAGTAGACAACAACTACCCACGAAAAATACAGCTATAGTAGACAACAACTACCCACGAAAAATACAGCTATAGTAGACAACAACTACCCATGAAAAATACAGTTAAATTTGACAACAACTACCCATCAAGATTATAAAAACACAGGTATAGTAGACAAGAACTACCCATCAAGATTATAAAAACACAGGTATAGTAGACAAGAACTATACATAAAGGTTATTAAAACACAGGTATAGTAGACAACAACTACCCATCAAGATTATAAAAACACAGGTATAGTAGACAAGAACTATACATCAAGGTTATAAAAACACAGCTATAGTAAACAACAACTATACATCAAGGTTATAAAACACAGCTATAGTATACAACCACTATACATCAAGGTTATAAAAACACAGCTATAGTAGACAACAACTATACATCAAGGTTATAAAAACACAGCTATAGTAGACAACAACTATACATCAAGGTTATAAAAACACAGCTATAGTAGACAACAACTATACATCAAGGTTTTAAAAACACAGCTATAGTAAACAACAACTATACATCAAGGTTATAAAAACACAGGTATAGTAGACAACAACTACCCACATCATCCACATTATAAAGTAGATTAGTCTTTCAGTGTTTAACATAATGTTACACACACTTAACCCTTATACACATTATAAAGTAGATTAGTCTTTCAGTGTTTAACATAATATTACACACACTTAACCCTTATATACATTATAAAGTAGATTAGTCTTTCAGTGTTTAACATAATGTTACACACACTTAACCCTTATACACATTATAAAGTAGATTATTGATCCAGTGTTTAACATAATGTTACACACACTTAACCCTTATACACATTATAAAGTAAATTATTGATCCAGTGTTTAACATAATGTTACACACACTTAGCCCATATCCACATTATAAAGTAGATTAGTCATCAGTCTTACCGATGTTCTAACCAGGGGTACATCCGAATTGGGTGGAAGCTCTGTTCCTCCACTGCTCCTTCTTCCACCGCTTTCAGCAGCTGCTGCTGCAGCAGCGCATAGTTGGCGATGTTGTTCTGCTGCTTTGGCGATCTGTTGGTTCAGGTTTTTTCTCATAGTGATGCGTTTTGATAAGTAGCCAACTGTGGCGTACTCTAGCAGGGAAGCAAACACCATTACGAAGCACGTTCCCAGGAAAACGTCAATACTCTTCACATAGGATATCTTAGGCAGAGCTGCGTTGGTGCTGGACATCAATGTGGTCATCGTGAGGACGGTGGTCACTCCGAGGGCCACTCGGGCGGGAGTAGCATTCCTGTGAAGCCAGAAGGAGACCCACGAGATGATAACAATGAGACTAGCTGGGATGTAGATCTGAATCAGGTAGTAGCCCATACTGCGAACAAACTGGATCTCCAGCGCCAGACGGGAGTAGTTTCCTAGCAAACAAGAAGTTCAGCGAAGATAATTCCAAGTTTTAAAGCAATCTGTAATCTAAAGCAAAATTGTTAGGGTTAATTCGAACTTGTATGACAGGAGAAATAACATTAACATAGACCCTGGTGGTAAAACTTGTGTCATAGAAGAAACAACAACAACATAGACCCTGGTGGTAAAAACTTGTGTGATAGAAGAAACAACATGAACATAGACCCTGGTGGTAAAACTTGTGTCATAGAAGAAACAACAACAACATAGACCCTGGAGGTAAAACTTGTATGATAGAAGAAAAAACAACAACATAGACCCAAGTGGTAAAACTTGTGTGATAGAAGAAACAACAACAACATGGACCCTAGCGGTAAAACTTGTGTGATAGCAGAAAAAACATTAACATAGACCCTGGTGGTAAAACTTGTGTGATACAAGAAACAACAACATAGACCCTATCAGCAAAATTTGTGTGATACGACAAACAACATCAACATAAACCCTAGTGGTCAAACTTGTGTGATAAAAGAAACAACATCAACATAGACCCTAGTGGTAAAACTTGTATGATAGGACAAACAACATCAACATAGACCCTATCGGTAAAACTTGTATGATAGAAGAAACAACAACAACATAGACACTGGAGGTAAAACCTGTATGATAGAAGAAACAACAACAACATAGAAGAAAAAAAAACATTAACATAGACTCTGGTGGTAAAACTTGTATGATAGAAGAAACAACATCAACATAGACCCTATCGGTAAAACTTGTATGATAGAAGAAACAACAACAACATAGACCCTGGAGGTAAAACTTGTATGATAGAAGAAAAAACAACAACATAGACCCTAGCGGTAAAACTTGTGCGATAGAAGAAACAACATTAACATGGACTCTATCGGTAAAACGTGTGTGATAGAAGAAACAACAACAACAACATAAACCCTATCGGTAAAAACTTGTATGATAGAAGAAACAACAACAACAACATAGACTCTGGAGGTAAAACTTGTATGATGGAAGAAACAACAACAACAACATAGACACTGGAGGTAAAACTTGTATGATGGAAGAAACAACAACAACAACATAGACAC